GCTCATGTTCTCTGCTGAGTACCATCTCTTCTTTCTGTATCATGTCTACGGAAGGCTAGTTGCCGCAGTCGCACCTATGGTAAACTGTGCCTGACTACGTTGTAATAGTTTTTCTCGACACTCAACCAACCAACCATATTTTTTATCATTTTCTTTTCTTCCCCTCGCCGCCTCCGCAAGGTTTTGCGTAGGTGACCCATAGCGAGGGGGGGATCTTTCTAGCGAGCAGGGCCAAACTCACCCTCAGGAGACCGATACCTTCTTGCTGCGGCGCAACCGCCGCGAGGCGTGCGAAGTGGTGGAGCTGGGTCGGCACTGGTGCGTCAGGTACAAAGGTGCAGATGCGCGGGCCTCCAGGCCGTCGGTGTAGGCAGCAATGCCCATCTCATCTTTGTGCGCGGAGGCAGACGTCCTCAAAAAGGTAGACGGGCACCATGTACACGGCGCTAGGTTTGCTACAGGGAGCTGTACTGTCTCAGTAACCTGGTTTTGCCATCAAAGGAGGAGGGGACAGGTGGTGACGAGCTGATTGGGCTGGTTGACCCTTCGGCGCGAGAATCTTCAGACCAAGAACCCCAAGTGCAACGAGGGAGAAAGCGAGGAACCGACTGGGAAGGACAGCAACGAGAGCGTGTACGAAGCGTAGCGGGTCGAGTTTGGTCGTGCTAGGACTGGCCACAGCGGTACCGGAGCAGCGGCACCGGAGCAGCGGAACCGGAGCAGGCGGACGGCATCGAACCGTGGTCCAGAAGGTGTTATGGAGGTTATCGTTGATATGACCGATGAGTTGCGTTCTGACCAGGTGGTGCATGTTGGGGCCGTTGAAAACTCGACGGGCAAACATCTGAGTAGGCATACTCCATCACCGTTTTCATTGACAATTCGCCAAGATCCTTGGTTGTTGTTGTTCCCATTGTTGGTGTTGTTGCCGTTGTTGTTGCCCGCACGACCGCTGTCGCCATAATTGGGCCATGTGCTGTTGCCATTGTTGCATCCTTCACCTTGGCCATGGTGACGAGGTAATTGAATGTTAAACGTAGGGGGAGGTTGACCAGTTGCTGCAACAATAAACTCAGAAAAGACAACGTTGTGCATGTGGGGGCTGTCGTTGACGAGACGATCCATGTTCCACGACGTATAGAATACTGCCCCTGCAGGTTGTACGGCTAATAACCGCAACGTACAACTGACCGTGGCAGAAGACCGATCCCCTGAGTGAGGTCGAGGCCGACTTTTTTGCACGTTTGTCCTTGAAACTTGGTGATGGTCATCGCGTAGCACGATCTGTCAGGGAATTGGTAACGGTGAAAGGTAATACCGCGCGCTCCCACTGACATCAAAGCAGATGCATGCGTGGTACTTTATCGATGGGAGATTCATCGGATGGAACTTCAACGTCCATAACGCGTCTTGAAATCCCTCGAAAAACTCCCCGTTTGCCATTGACGAGACCGCAAAGTTAATGCTCCTGATGAAGACGATCGATGTTCCAACTTAGAGGTTGAGTTTGTGCAGTGGCGTGCCAGGGACGTTGATGCTATTGAGATATTCGACGGATGCAACATCTGACATGCGTTAGTCGTCCTTGAAGATTTTGTCTGAACAAAGTTGTTCGTAAACCTTTCCCGGCATATTATGAAGGATCAAGTCATTCATTTGGTCAATGCTATCATTGTGGGTGCTAGAATGTCACGGTCGTTGTAGATGTTGTGGTTAGCTTCCAATGGGTTGGGATCGACTTGTTCAATGATGTCTTCAACTTCCGTTGTTCCGGCAATTGAAGATGTAGGTTCAATGGAAAAGCGGCGGTACCATCGGCTAAAAGAACTGGTTCAATTTTTCCCTCTCCAACATCGTAAGGATTGTAATGCTCTCATGCACTTGGTAAGGCGGAAGCGGTGAACATGTGACCATACATCTGACGACCGGAGAGCATGGGAAGAGCCAGTAGTTCCAGCAGATGGATTTTTGTATGGCACGGCAGATATGGTTATTTCGATTGTGCAAATTTTGGCGTTCGATATCGTTTAAAATAGATTGGACTTGCCCATGGTATAGGCACATCAGCTGAGGCACATCGTCCTACACACGATGACCAGCCCCGAGGAGTACTCGTGTAGCTGCATACATACGTCGCGTAGTGCGTTGTTGATGCTGCTATGGAACTCGTGTCATGAACCACAGCCATTCGCAAACAAACGGGATGTTTTGTTGATGCTGCTCTGGTATACATACACATGTTAACCCCCGCAGCCATTCGGAAATAAACGATTGAAGTATGTGTAGATGTGAAAATGCCACCATATTTGCACTACTACATCAGCGCATAGACACACACAGCAGTGGAAGACGGCTACAGCAGTGGAAGACGGCTGCTGTGATGCTGTTTGACAAGGTAATCGTGATTGTACGCGCGCTGTGCTGGCTGGCAGCCATTTGGAGAAAACGAACACGGGAAGTAGTCGAAAAATCTCTGGCTGGTTCTCTTTGTATTCGTCATCAATCAGTCATGAACGATATTATTCTCAGAAAATATTCTTTTTAGTGGTGATCCATCCGCAAACAGGAGAGTGGCCGCCACATATAATAGCCAGCCCCGAGAAGAAGGAGTACTGATGATGATGCAGATGTACGTCGCGAAGTACGTGCGTTAGAAGCGTTGTACTGCTGTCTGTCTGTGTGTTATCCGTGAGAAGCGTACCGCTGGCCCGCATCCAATTCGGAGAAAATCGGACATCAACAGAAGGTCCGACAGAGAGGTTTCGAATTGGTTCAGGCTTTGTCGTCGCGGAAGCGTGCCCTGTGTAGTTAGCCAGTTTTCGAAACTTTGAGGGTCAACCACACGCGCCACGGTGTCCTGCCGAGCTCCGGGCGCGAGCGTCAACGTACCCACGAGCCTCCTGCGTGCCCCTGAGAAGGAATCGCGAGAAAAGACTTGTTGCCGCGAGAGAAAGAAATGCCGAGGCAGGAAAAGCGAGCAAACATTGTCTATAGGTACAAGTGTTGTACTTGTGCTGGAGCTCGAAATTAATTTTTTGGTTACAGCAGTATGGACCAGACACCGAACAACGTTCGCCTACGTCGACGACCGTAACTGAATCAGACCAATCACATGAAAACAGCCGTTCGCGTGTCGTGGACCTGCAACATGATGCTGCCGACCAACTGGTGCACGCAAAGCTGTCGTCATGTTTGATTGTGATTGCCGCGGAAAGAGATTCCTCGGAAATAGATGCCACATACATGGTGCTACTTCTGTACTCGCGCAGTACACTGAAGTCGTAGGATAGCGAAGTTGTGCGGTGTGGGCATCTTCCACACACAACTCCAACCGGTGCTTGTGTGTCGATTGAACTAATGTGCGTCGAGATTACAGCAGTGGGACTCTCGTGTTGTGGAAGGAAGTCTGCCTCCAAGAAGAGAGAAGGCCGTGTTCATTTTTCCCACTTGACGTGTTGAGGTTTGGAGCTGAGTGGCGGGACTACTTGGCGTGTAAGTCACCCGACCTGATGTCCGCTGCTGTGTGCTGTGTGTATGCTCCACAAACTTCTACCGGTGCTTGTGTGTCGATTTGAGCCTTTTAGGGCGACATGCAGCTGGCGGGGTATTCAATGGCAATGTACCCAACCAGTGACGCAAAGGTTGGGGCGGCAGCCGACAAATTCGACCACCAGCCACAGCTGCACCAACTACTTGCATGCTACCTGCACTACCCCTGACATTGGCTTGCGCCATGCCCACAATATTTGTGAAGAGCACGGTACACCTCTGGCCAATGGTGTCAATCAGTTGGGACGTGTGTTAGCCTCTATCACGGAAGGTGCGCGTGACTGAACGTTATGTTGCGCAGGAAGAAAAAAAAAATGAGGACCCTACCAATCTCGAGGGTACTCTATTTTCTCCAGTGAAACGAGTGCTTGCTTCTGCCGTCGTGCACCCTCGGTTGAGTGTTTTGTCGTCTGGTACATCGCCAGCCTCAAATTTGCAACATAATCTAAGTGCCTTCGTTCGAGAATAGTACATACTCGCCCTTGCGCTCACTCCTCATCATCACCATCAAAGCAAACATGGTCTTGGGGTCTATCAAGTCGTTCATTGTACATGTTTGTCCGAGACACCGAGCTGCAACGGCGCTCGAAGGTGTCTGCTGGTAGGCTACATACTAGCCTACGGGTATAGCTATTCCCGAGAAGCTCACGCGGCCGAATGATTCATCATCTCCAAGGCGTTTTTTCTTGGATCACAAACACAACAGCATTCAACAAGTTTGCCTGCAAACTAGCGTGCAGGGAGGATCACGCTTTTGCCAAGGAACACGTCAGTCGCTCGGAGCAGACCGGTTGGAGACAGGGAAAACCGCCGGAAAAATCATATGGATGGACGGACTGCGGTCGACCTATCCTAGGGATATACCTGTTATCTCGCATGGTGTTTTTTGCATGCAAGCCCACAAATCTGCTCCAGTTTCAACCGGATGGCCATCAAAGCTCCAGCATCCATCGCCTTCATGAACAGTCCCAGAACCGTGGCTCCAGGGGCAAGATTCATTGACAGGTAAGCGGTGCTTGTCGACGGTTGAAATTGAAATCTCCACCCTGCGCAACATGGATGGGCATTTTGTTAAGCAGGTGCGGTGAGATGCCAGACGATATCGACCGCGACAGGGCCAACAGGGGTTCACCTCAATTTTACGCATGTTCGTATTCCATAAGGTTTATGCACCGTCAATGACTGCCCTTCCAACCGGAACCAGTGTACCCCGAAGCAATAGATTATCGGCTTTGGAAGCGCATTATAACGACTGAAAATCCCAAAGCCAACCCTACCCTAGCCCGGAGCCCACACGAAACGTGCTAGGTTGGCGCTGGGTGGCTAAGTTCTCGGTGAATTGCCGGTGGTGAGGTTCTACTTGTTGACATACATCAACAACACATACATGAATATTCATCGGCTGAGACTCACCTACTGGGTTATTTAGGGCAAAAAAATAAAAAATGGCACAAACAGCTAGTAGCGTACAATAACCAACAATTGCTTCTTGGAGGGACTGCATACAGATGATCTGCGACGTCTTGTGTGCTGACTATTATTGTGTTCATGGCTCCGAGTTGCAGCATAGAGAGGGAGCAGTAAAACAAAGTGCAGGCAGGCATACGGCCGTCTCCCACCTCTGTCAAGGATATTCTGTCGAGGAATATTGTTACCACGTAGTCAGGCACAGTTTACCATAGATGCGACTGCGGCAACTAGCCTTCCGTAGACATCACACAGAAAGAAGAGATGGTACTCAGCAGAGAACATGAACACAGAGTTGTAGCGGAGATAATTTGGCAGGCGAGACTGTGGTTGTTTTATTGTTCCAAACCCCGATATTCCGATACTCGGGCCATTACCCCGGAGACCCCCGGAACCTGCTATGTGTTCGCTGCTTGTTTTTCGTTGTGTTTTGTTGTTGAGATGAGACACAAGCGCGCCTTCGCCCCTTGTGCTCACTCTCATCTAGCACCCATCAAAACCTGACCAGGAAGTCAGTTGATAAGAACATCTATCTACATTTCTCTTTCCAAAGCTCGCTCGGGCCTACCGATCTCACAGCAGTGTAGACCAACCTCTGTGATAGAGCGGTGACAGCAGTGTATCCCCTGTGGTAGACTACAAAGTCTACGAGCGACAGCAGCACCGTCACCTCCGCTGCTGCAAGACACCACATTTTGTGAGGTTGTGAGCCTCGCTTTACGCGAACACTAGGAGCTGCGGACGTCACGACGTAGGTCAAGACATCCTACTGCTTCTGCTGTGGACTACAACATCCATCTGTGGACTTCAAGCGGAAATCTGGATTCGGAGATTTGGGAGGTCATCAACGGTCAGCGGAAACGAAAGTGAGCGCACCACTTGGTTATCTCCACCAAGGGACTGAAAGTTCATTACACACACACGTTACCACTGCTGCAACAGCAGTAGTGGGTACCTCTGTGGTGAACAAACAGCAAAGTGTTGCGCGGGAAGCCTCGATATAGACATCGAGCAAATACTTCTGCGGTAGAGACAGGAGGGAAGTCTGTATCAACAGCGAAAGTCGATAGTCCTATTCACCGATTCCCTGAGTGAGGAAAGGGTATCAGGAGCGGGGTCGCAAATTGGCCTACAACCGGAGTTCTATTCATCAATTCTCTATCTAAGTGAGAAAAGGGTTTCAGAAGCGGAGTCACGAATCGGCAACCGGAGTCCTCTATATCAATAGAAGGAGCAGGGCTGGAAAAATCTCAGATACAGATAGCTGAGAAATACACAAACAAAAATATTCAAGACGAGGTCATCAGGATAAAACCAGAAATGGAAGCAACATCGGAAACTGGAGGCGGAGGCAGCATCTG